GTTTCGAGAGGACATAAGTTTCCTACCTGTGTGGAATTTAAAGTTTTACAAATTCCTTTCCTTACGTAGATAATGTATGCCACTACTACTAAAACTACTACTACTACTACTACTACTACTACTACTACTACTACTGCTGCTGCTGCTGCTGCTACTACTACTACTACAACAACAACAACAACAACAACAACAACAACAACAACAACAACTACTACTACTACTACTACTACTACTACTACTACTACAACTACTACTACTACTACTACTACTACTACTACTACTACTATAATAACTACATGCACAATATTAATGCTACAACTGCTGCTAATGCTACTATCAAGCTTTTAAAAAAATCAAGTTCACCTTTAAATAAAGCAAACATATGCAGCTTTTTTAAAACATTGCAATCAAAATTGAAAATTGAAAAACAAACAGAGAAGAAAATTTCATTGAGTTCATGTATCCCAAGGTTTAGGCATACATTATAATGTACATTGTACATCATTTTTCGACAGCAAAGAAAGAATGTGAATCTTTCTGCGAACGAAGATTTCCGGAAGTCACCCCGTCGCAGCAATGTAATTGAACTGTGTTATGATAATACATGTTTGCATCCCTTGATCTGTCGACAGTAACAACAACGTAACCGGCCAGCGGCTAACATATTGTTATGCCGTATATTTTGTGAGCAGTACACAAAGTAATGTAAGTATGGCAGTTCACATTTTAAAATATATCTTCCATTTTGTTGTTTTCTTATGATAAACCAAGGCAAGATAGAGTAAGAGTGCCTTGCCTTGTACTTGTAATACAGTAATTTTGAGTAATTGTAATTGTAAATTGTAAAATCTACCCTGCTGTTGCTGTGCGTAGAGACAGAGCACTTTTTTGGTAGAGCTAGATCTAGATCTAGTTCCCACCCCGCCCCCAAGAGAAGGGGGGTTTCAGGGGAATAAAAATATGAAGTGGCTATGCCGCTATGCGTACGCATAGCCGCGCATTGAGCTTATGTGTACGGCCCTCCACTTCACATTTTTTATAGGCCGGCACTATTTCTCCGAACGTTCGGTAAAAAAAAGCTGGGCACTATTTCTCCGAACGTTTGAGAAAATAAAGCTGTGCACTATTTCTCCGAACACTCTGAAATCACATCCTTTCCCGCAAATTCGGTAAATTTTTACTTTCACTCCCGCACACAGATGCACTGTTTCAGGGGTCAAACTGCTGTACTGTTTGCTGCAGATCACACATAAAAAGCCTCTAAAACTGTCGCAAATCAATTATTTTCAAGACCATTTCAAATCTAACTGTAAAATATCAAAATATGGGTAAAGACAGGGGGGCATGCCCCCCTGTAACCCCCCAGATTTTCTTTTACCCCAGTGGGGCAGGCCCCCCTGGTAGCCCCGATTGGTCCAAAGCATGTCTATCTCGGTTAAAAACAATCAAATATTTCAAAAACTATTAATTTGCGACGGAAATGAAGTTGATATTATTCGTGTTCAGCGCATCAATAGTTAGTAGAAAATAGACAACTGGTAGCTGAGTGTGAGACGGGAGGGAAAGTATATATATAGATCTATAGAGGCAAAGATTGTTCGAATACAATATAATATTCAATCGGTCCCAAAAATGTCCGCAGTAAATATTTATATAAAATAAATGCTACAGTTCCAAAGTTTTTCGCTACAGATATGACGTGTTGTCAATGAAGGGTGCTGCTCTTAAACTTTTACACTATTAGGGAGGCTCTCGTGGCCTATAGTTAAGGTGTTGGCCTCTCATTCAAAAGGTCCCGGGTTCGAATCCGGGTAGCGATTGAAAAATTATCTTCTCTAAATTTGTCTCCTTTCCCCTCATTTCCTGCTCTCTAGCAATGTTCTGTCCTCTGCTTTCGTCTCCTCTTTCTACCCCCACCCCCTCACCTCCTTTGCCCCTTCCTCTGGGCTCCTGATTCTTTCTACAGCCTTTCTACTGCTACTCCTTCGCTTCTTCTTACTGATGCTGTCTTTCAGCCACACCCCTGATCTTCTGGTAAGAAAGATCTACACCTAGCCTTCTCGGACAAGGGCGAAAAATCTCAGAGGGCCCTACCAACTGAAAATATTAGGTGTGTCCCGCACGCTCATATGACCTTATTTATGCAGTTGTGTGTTGCGAGCGCCGTAAAACACTTTACAAAAACAAAAAAACTAAAACTTAATTATAAATAATGTGTTTGTTCACTCGTGTGCTGTGCCTAGATCTAGATCTATGGAGGGTTATTGATAACGACATATAGAACTAGCATCTGTGTTTGTCGCGGCCGCGACCAATCAATCGTGGCTCGATTTTTTTGCATTTTTTGGTGCCCGAATCGGGGAATAAAAGTCAAATTTTAAAAAAAAGAAGGAAAAAAAAATGAAACCGAACCTTTTTACTTTTGAAAGAAAGTTCACTTATCTTCACTTCGTCTCTTTCTCACTTGTCACCACGTTGATTTGTTGAATACGTTACACTGTGTTACATACGATTTGTATTGCTGTTCCTCTTTTACTTTTATTTTTCCCTCTTTGTTGTGTTTTATTTTGTTGGTGTGTATTATTTTTTTTCTTGTTATTATTCTAATGTGTTGTTTTTCTATAATTTTTTTTGTTGGGGGAAAAGGGGGTGTTGTATAGTGTAACGTCATTTAATTTGATGTTCCTACCTTCATTAGATATATATAGATTTTAATGCGTTATATTAGAGCGTTCCACCAAAATCAATTACATGTACTGACACTGGCAGGCCCCTTGTGTGTGATTCCATAATTTACATGTAATATCCTGTACATGATATATGTCAGGGATTGTGATGATGATGATGTTGGTGGTGATGATGAGGATGATGATGATGATGATGATGATGATGATGATGATGATGATGATGATGATATATCAGAGTAGAGTTGGTAACACTGATGAGAATATATGAAATCGATGATGAGAATGCTTGTTAGTCGTTTAGTTCAGATTTTAGCACCTACTCTAGATCCCTCCAGGCTGTTCTTTGGAGCAGGACAATTCCTCATTCCCACTCGTCGCATAAGGCAAGGTGATCAAATTTTGAAGCTAAATTGTCATCACTTTCCTAACATTTAAGAAGGATTTGCCGAAATATCATATGGGGCTGCTTCTAGTTGGTGGCTGTGTTGGCGTTATGAACCGTATCCTAAACTACCATTGGTATAAAATATTTATTTACTGGTTATGTCAACTAAATTATATGTATTGTATATTAAATACTATTGCATATTAAATAGGCTTGGTTAAATTTGAGATAACACTAGGCCACACATTTTTGAGTCTCTTCCAAGTCATCGCCATTGCATCCTTTCCCTCCATTGATCAAAGCATGTAAAAAGACTTGTTTTCTCTCCCTCTTTCTGCTTCCTCCCCTCTCCTCCTCTTCCCCTCCCCGACTCTCCCTTTATTTTGCGCCCCCCCCTCCTCTCTCTCCTTTTTTCGCACCCCCTTCTCTCCCTCCCTTCCCCCCCCCCCCTCTCCCCCCCCTTCTCTCTCTCTCTCTCTCTCTCTCTCTCTCTCTCTCTCTCTCTCTCTCTCTCTCTCTCTCTGGTTTATTTGGAAGAGGGCCCGTAGACTGAACTTAATCATTTGTGGTCCAAAGTATGGATGTGAGACATTTTTCTAGTACAACTCAGCTGTAATGTAAAGATCTAACAAGATTTATGTTGTGTTTTTACATATAAAAAGACACTGCACTCTTAGTCAGTTTGGTGCGAACTTTGAAAAGATCTGTTGAGCCAGTTCTGAATAAATTAAGATAGTTTTTTATTAAAAGGTACTAAAGGTACGTCTCCAAAGCGGAAAGTCCGGTACCGAGTCTCGGTTCGGACATTAATTTTTTTCGCCCCCTCCTGCCCACCCAGCAATAATGGGTGCCTGACTTCGAGTTGGGGAAGTAAAGACGGCGTGCAAAGGAGCTGGCCACCCTACCACAATATGTTGAAGGCCCTGGAAGTTGTCTCACTGACTTGGCAATCCCCAATGTCCTGATCGGATGCAGGAACAACTTTACTTTACTTACTAAAAATACGACAAGTTGGGCATCCAACACTTTCCTCAAACGTAAACCAAGCAAAAATAACCGCTTTAAATAAACTGCGAAACACTGAACGTTCAGTCTGTCTGCTTGGTAGTTTACTGCTTAGAATGGGAAAGACGTCATGTAACAGTGTTCAAACATTGACAAAAATGCGAACTTGATAACTTTCCAGTGAACATATCTGAGCGCCAGCTAATCCCGAGCCGGGAATAGTTCGAGAGCTGACGAGTCACGTCAATTAAAAGTCACATAATCGTGCGAAAATTGACAACATGGGAAGCATAAATTGTGTGTCATTAACATGTATGCAAGTCATTCAGTCTATCAGAGCACTCCCATCTTATCGGTATTATAAAGAGAAAGGCCTGAATATTAGTACTATTTCTATTTATTGCTCTGAAGGGATTACGTAAACTCGGCGAACAACTCATAGAATGGTGCGGAGAAAATAATTTCATGATTTCAAACCTCTGGTTTGAAAATCACCCAAGAAGACGGCACACTTTGAAGAGCCCTGCAGATATAACTAGAACCTTTATTAGCCAATACGTTTTTCTTCTCGAAATTTTCCTCAAGTACTACTGCAAAAGGACTTTGATCTGCACATGTATAAATTGGGAACGGGGGAATACCATTCTTTGGCGCTCGGATTGCTCGTTTGCTCAATAAATTTGAGAAAAGACAAAAGCTTGCAGAACCAAATTTTAATGCAATCTCTTATACGGGGAGCCCATTTACTGGATCCAATCAATTCGGGTCGGGTTTAGTGCGCACTGTGGATGATAAAGCCCTCTCATGCTTTCATCAAATTGACTCGGGAAGTTAAAAGCAGAGAAAACTTTGACTTCTGAAGACCCAGAACCTTGGTGCAACGGTCATATACGATGCCACGGTGCTGTTGGACGCGAAACTAACCGTTCACAGCCCAGCCACTTCCTTCAATAATGTCTTCAAGTGCCGACGACTGCATATCTCAGTTGCTGTGTTGAGATTGTCTTGAATCTCACAGGCAAGGGGAGATTTTTTGGTAGCTTTCTATCAGCCTCTCCAAATTAACACCGCCCATTATCGCTTTCTGCTCGCAAACTAAAGATCCGACCCTGACATCGCATTGTCACGTGACTCGTTGGCCACAAGCCTTGTGACGTGCTGTTCTCAAATGATGGATCCGCCCAATTCGACTTAAAACAAACGTTTTATTTTACTGGATACGATCGAATTGATCATGAGTGTTAGCTTTTGCGCCCCCCCCCCCAACCCCTGAAAGAAAATTTGACCGGCCCTGACTGTATCAAGTGAATCAAACATATCAAATGAGCAATGGTCATTAACGGTGGTAGTATTAACAGTAATATCTACTACTACTTCTCTTTCCTTATACCGTCGGTTACATATGGCGGAGAGCAGTTCTACACTTTCGGCTAATCCAGGCCCAGGGTGATTGCCTCATACCTTATTGTGCAGTAACACCATTATAAGAAAACAAACATGTTCACGTTTTTAAACTCATTTTGAGATTGTCCACCTCGTTGAGCTCCCAATGAAAGCTCGTGAACGCCTATTTCGAAGAATAAACTTCTGTAGTATTTCTACTTTCTGTCCACCGTTGCTCACTTGAC